TTGAACTAATGATATTTGTGTATGTGCATTTATTTAGATTCATTTTGTCAGAGTGAAAGGCTTGTATGAGCTAGTTCAGACAGCACATGAAAAAGAGGTGAACTAGCTAGTCTGTTCAGAACATGACTGAAAGATCTGGCTTAAAAAGGTGTGGGAAATGGAAAAAAAAGAATAACCCTACTTGTCTTCAGAACTATGTAGTTGGTCTGAGAGCTGAGCTGACAGCAGCAGGAAAGAGATTTAGCAGAGTTTGAACAGCTCGTTTACCCAACTTTATTATTTCTCTAAAAGTTAATTTTAAATAAAGGGAAATTCCCTGTTTGTTTACTTTCAGAAGCTCCAAAGTAACTGACATCTTAATTGGACAAGACTCCAGGTTTCTGTGAGAAAGTTTGTGGTATATAAGAACTGGGCTTACAACAGAAGGGATATGAGGAAAGAAAGGGGGAAACTGACCAAAAAAAACCCTAGCCTAGATAATGTGGAATTTTGTGACAATGAAGTTTAGTAAGATTCCAATAAAGAATGTTATGTAGTGAATTTCCTATTAAAAATTTTAAAAAGAAAAAACCTTATAAACTCTTTTAAAAAATTGTTCCAATTAATTTATAAACTAAATGAAATTATTAATTTTTAAATAACCTTTAGCTAGTCCTTCTTTCAGTTCTCCTATAGTTTGGATTTGCTGCAAATTGTGCACAGAGAGGAATTAGTATCTGTACACTGTTCTGGTAAGGCTGGGATTTGAAGGACTTCAACATTAGAATATCTGTTCTTCTATGAATCTGATAAATGATTTCATGTTTTCAATCTTCTTGGTAAAAACTGTTTGAACTGTAGTAAAAGTAGATTGTGCAGCAAAAAGTTTGTATTTTAAAACATGCTTCAAGAAGATAATTATCTAAATATGATCTACTTGTATCATTAATGAATAATCAATGGAATTACAAATTGTGGAAGGACCCAGCTCTTAGCCCATGTTAATAATAGTTAAATTGGAACTGCAAATGGCTAACAGAGTTATAAAACCCTAGATTTTCTGAAAATAGATTTTAACTTCCCTGGAGAAAAGCAGTGCACAAGTGGATATGTGACTGTAATGAAACAAAAAAAAACAAACCAGGAATTTTAAAAACACAGCCCTTGAAGTAAAGGTTGAGCTTTTCACCTTTAAAATAATAGAAGCGAAAGCTACACAGAAATACAGAGATGCAATTGTCAAATGGGGCACTCATAACTAGCCACATTTAAACCTTCCTGTGCTAGGTTGGGTTATGGTGCTGGTCTGAGCACTTTGGTGGTCTGGCATGTAGCACAAGTTCTGTTCCTCCACCCCTATAAAGATGGGATGGAGCGGGGGGAGATTTGTCTCTTTGGATGCTGTTCTTTGATCCCCTTCTAGGCATAGGTTAACCCTTGATAAGATGTCACTTCAAGGCAGGAAACAAAATGTGCTCTTAATGAGGAAGGCACAGCACTCCCACACAGCCGTATTTTTGATACAAACCCATGTAAGTTTGGTAGGGTTGTCCACAGGTTGGCGTTAAAGCTGACGGAGATCTGGGAGATTCTTTTGTGAAATGGGGTGTTTTAGAGACTTCTCCAGTAAGCCTCTGAAACGATCCACTAAGCATGCGTAAATATCAATTTTCAAAGACTTAAAATGTAGCCAAAGCAGAATAAAAGACAAATCTGTTTTACCAGATTTCAGGTTTTCACTCAGAAGCTGGGAATCCTGTTAATCTTCTTCAAACAAACAGACAAGATAGAATTAAAACATCTTCTTAGCAAGTAATACATTTCCTCTCAAAATATATCTTTTCATACAATTTAGCATTTTACTTAATTATTTTAAAAAGCAGTCTGAGACAATGCAAGAGGGGGAAGACTAAAGCTCAGTTATGTGCCTGGCAGAGAAACAAAAAGTAAAAAAAAGTTGTACAGTGTAGTTTTTTAAGCAGCTTTAACAACAGACTTTATTTTGTCTAAACTGAAACAATGCATTTACTAGAAAACAGTCTTTAATAAGTGGCTGCATAAACTTAGAAGTATTAATTGATCCTTCAGAGATCACCCTTTTAAGCTTCTTTTTTTAGAACAGGAAAACACATAGTAAATCCAAACCTGCTTCTGATTAAGTCAGTGAAAGCAGGACTCTGATAAACATTTAGTTTGACAAAATGAATTCAAGATGTTGGGATTATTTCATCCATTTTACTAAGCATTTTTCCTGAATCCTCCATTCACTGAAAGGTAAGATTTTAGTAAGTCTGTTACATCTTCCTGAGAATTTTTTAGGCTAAAGATAAACTAAATGCATCCAGAAAGGTGAATTGAATGACATGTGTTACACAGAAGGTAATGTGCACTTCAATAAGAAAATCACGTAGGGGTATATTAAAATAATCCCTGTGCTTGTTCACACAGGATGAGGCACCCAGGATAAGTAGAATGTATACACATGGTTTTGTGAAACTTTTTATTGGCTTGGATATCTTTTTCATTTTAAGAGACTACCAATAAGTGCAAGATGTCTTTCATTCCTGTGGAGAAAATATGTATTTGTGAATTCACTACTTTTAAAATTGTTTTAGCTAATTAACTTGCCATGTCTGTGAACTGGGATGCCATTTGCTATTGAAAAGAAATTAAGGCAATTAAAATACTTTTCTGCACAGAAAGCTTCATACTCATATGGAACAAAAACTATTCCTTTTACAAAGTTTGATTGTCTATATTCTTTGCCAAGCAAAGGAAAGTCAGTTTTCTGACTAATAGAATTTGATCTGGGTAAGAAAACCTGCTTCATTTGAGTGTGAAAAGGGCTTAAGACAGATACTTCTTAAATACACTAGCTAGGTAAACCAGTGATCTTGCTTATGAAATAATGCTGAAGAATTTGCATCCATGGTGATGATACATGCCTGTCTGAAAAGAAATTATTGTAATTTTCGTGCTTACCAAGAAAAAAAGCATGTGTGAACTTTCTAAGCTGGAACTGCCCATTAGGTATCTGTGGGCTGATCGTACTTCAACAGGAAATCATGACACTTAAAACTGCCAAGTGCACACGTGGGGAGCATTACACTGTATATGCACTGAAACACACATTGTTTATTTTATGCAGCATTCTTCTGCTCCCTTAAATACATACAAGATGGAAACTCACAGACTTTTTTTAACCTTTAGCTGCTATCCTTGTACAGAAACTACTAAACAAAAACTGACAGACTTGTAAACCACTTGAGTGCATTTTATTTCGTCTAACACTGATCATGTTTCCAGTAGACAATAAATATAATGCACTGCTGACAGATGTGTAGAAATGTATATACAATTAGACAAAGAAATTGGGTTCAACGCAGTTCAAATCTCAGTTTATCCCTTTGAATTTCCTTGAATACGACTATAAAATTCTTGCCTGCTGATGCATGTCCTCCAGCAATATCAGTTTTCTCCTGCTCATCCAGATTGCTGCTGGGGAGGCTGCCCTGCCAGTGTTATATCGGTGCATCTCATGGTTGACTTAAGCATTTACCCAAGTAAATGAGATTCTTTTCTTCATGTGCCTTTGGGTAAGGCCTTCGTTCATTTTCCCGGTTGAGATGTAATAATTCATACATTTTCTTGAACATATTCAGGACTCGAAATCTCTGCACTGTGTCTTGGATTAAATGACCACAGTGTGAGGGAAGCTAATGCATCCAAGAGATCAACAGAATTAAGAGCACAAAATGGGAGATAATTTCAGTATCTGGAGGGAAAAAAAAATTCAGACAGCAGACTCATATTTGACAGAAAAGTGGTGGGGTTTTGTTTGAGTTTTCCTCCCACAGAGGAGGACGTGTGGAGCACAGAAGACAGGCAATTTCAAAGTGAAACTTGGAATAAATACTTACAATTCTGGGTGTTGCCTTAATGATTTGCCATTGATTTTCCTGGTCATAATATGAATATGCAGAAGCTGTTGTTCTTACTGAACTATCCCAACTATTCATCTCTTTCCTAGCCATCTCAGTCTTATGCAATGTAACTGGTCTTTTACAGCTCTGTAAGACAATCCTTCTGTTGGCCTTTGTAGTATACATATGGTAAATTGTTCTGTTGCAGATGGTCTGGCAACTTTGCTTATATATAGCAGAAATGTTTCTTTGGGGAAAAAAGTCTGTGTAATTAATTTATAAATGAAGCAGGGAATAGGCAAGCACATACTGCAAATTGATTGCAGTTCCTGGTCTAACAAGAAATGTTCCTCATCTACTTCATCTGCTTTGTCTGAGAAAGGCAGATCTGTTGTCACTGCATGAAATACATCTCCAGGCACCCAGTGTAACTGTGATTCTGAAATCCACTGCAGTCTAAATCCATCTGAAATTTTGCAAACTTCCTAGAAATACTCAAAAGAAAAAAAAGAAAAAAAAAAAAGAAAAGCAAGTGATCTATTAGGAATATACACATTTGTAAGAGTGAAAAATCTTTCAGATGTACATGAAATCCCTGTTTATTCATTTGTATGATCTGTTCCTATGATTTCCTGCAGATGCAGTGACTGCTGGTGTTTGGAATACAGACAATGGGAGGTGGAAGTTCCTATTTTGATTTCCTGTGTAATCGTTGACTTTTCACTCAGTTATTTTCTTCTAAGAAATACCTGTACACCTGCACTTGTCCATTTAGTCCTCTATCTGTCCATCCATATTTGTGCACTATCTCATGCACAACTTTTACAAGCTCTTTGAGCAGTTTCATAAGCCTGTGTCCCTTACCTCATCACACCTAAAGAAAAGTGAAAAATCCTGGTGGTGTTGCTGTTCATATAAAATTATTAGCTACTTTCCTAGGTTTGCTAAAAAGCAAATAAGATGTCAAAGGAACAGGTATCGATTTCTTAATCTGGCTGCATTGCAAATGCTCCATATTGAAAAAAATTATTATAGAAAAATCAGGTTCTTATAGATAGTATCACAATGCATTAATACTGCCACCTTCTTTTTAAACAGGTCTATGGAAATGCAAGATCTAGCCAGTCCTCATAATCTTGTTGGAAGTAGTGATGCACCAGGTAGCTCCAAACTGGATAAATCTAATCTCAGTAGCACATCAGTTACAACAAATGGAACAGGAGGTAAGTATAAGACACTGCTGGCACACAGAAAGTTTTGGCTAGTTTTTAGCTATATGCAATTTTAACATAATTTCAAGAATGACCACAAGCCCATTTATAAATCCAGCAAGAATTATGAAAACATGGCAGTCATATAAATGTAAATCTCTAATTCCAACATCACTTTGATTTGCACCAATTGAAGTAAGAGGCAGAACTGAAATAAGGCGCAAAGGTGAAACAAGGAAAATCTTGGAAAGGTTGATTTGAACAAAGTGTTAAAGGTTTGCTTATACCTGTTGGTAACTTGAAATAATTTCTGTGTCATACTTCATAATTTACTCTTATACTCTTGCGCTACACACATTTTGGGTAAATTAAAATCTCTGGCAAAAGAAATGAATCAAAATTAGGCTTATGTAATTATTTTCATTATGAATTTCATTTCTTGGGAGGTAATTAAAGTTGTCATAAAGAGATTTTTAGATTTTCCTCTGAGGTAACAGGTTATTACTGCTGTATCTGTTACTGTAGGGACAGCACTACCATGCAGCTACATCACAGATACTTGGTTCTGCTGTAGCTGAATTGGAGCAGTGGGAGGCAGGGTACCACATTCTGAGGTACAGTCCTGTTCCCATTAGTTGCCATGAGAGTCACACCATGGATGTGAGTCAAGCTAGAGTTTTAGTCCTGTTTTTTTAAGCTCATACACTGCTGTCTATTTTAACATTTGGCACTAAGAAAATTTTTTTAGTTTGTTCTTTCTGGCCTCAATGTAAAGCATTTTCTTCACTTATCCCTATTTTAAAAAAAGAAAAAGTCTGTCAATGTCAGTAAAAACTATATGGGCCTGTGATGGTAGCAAGACTCTGCAGAGAAAAGCTGAACCGTATTTTTAAATAGAATCTTTGTACTGGCATAAAGAGAAGGGAAAACTTCAAGCCTACCATTAAAGAACACTAATAACCAGATGCCTTTCTATTATGTGTGCATAAATAAACCAGTTAACATAATACAGTGCTGTAAAAGACTTGGTTTAAAGTGCAAAAACACTTACTTGCCTTGGAAGACTATTCAGGTACACTAAAGAGACATTGGAAGAATGAACTGTTATACCATTCCTGTTCTCAGGAGACAACATGACTGTGTTAAATACAGCAGACTGGTTGCTGAGTTGCAGTACTCCCTCCTCTGCAACAAGTATGAGAGACCCTGGTACAGTGCATGTGTGTGGTGGTGTGTCTCCCCGACTGCTGTGTGACATGTGACATCTTTCTTGGTTTGCTGTGTTCTTTTGCTATGTGGTTTGAACATTCTCATGTGGGTTTTTTCCCCACACTTTTTTTTCTACCCCTTCTCAGAGGCTCTTCCCATAGCCAGAAAACTGGTAGAAAGTTGCAATAACTAGTTATCTTGCTATACATTGAAAGTTGTTTGATGAGCAAGGAGAATTTAACCTGCTTATAATTAGCTTAACTGTCTACATACTCTGACTGGGATTGCTTCATAGTGTTCAACATTGCTGGGAATTGCCAGTAGTCAGCATTGATGGAAGTTGGACAAATAGAATTTCCACAGAATGCCCATTTGCTTTCCTTTTGGGTTTAGGTACAGCATTGCATGATTACCTGAGCACAAATCAAGGTTGACATTATTGTTACTAGTCCTACTAGGACTTTCATTATTAATCAAAACTTATGTCTAGTGTGCTACTACTTGCAACTTTCCACTTTACAAACATTTGGCCAAGTTTTCCAAGCTGATGTTTTCATTTATGAGTTTCCTGACATGTATTATTAATTGTCATAAGTTGTAATGATTAATAATAATTCTGTATATGACACCATTACAGTACATATGGGATTAATCATAGGTTTAAACATGCATCACCATGTTTCTCTACAAGTCATTACAAAGGTGCTTAAGCTGTGCAGGTTTGGAATAAAGTTAGGAAGATGTCAAAACCTTTCCTTTAAAAAAAAATCAGAATTACTTTGCCATTTGTAAAACACATATGCATAGAAAATTTACCAAAGAAAAATGTTGACTTGAGCACAAAAGACCATTTGCACTAGAATAACTCATTCCATGCTTCTGCTCAGTTGCAAAAATTTAAGTTTAAGGAACTATGGAGCTAACCTGGTCTGTCAGCTCTGTTACCTGTTCAGCATGTTCAGATAAATGTGGAAAGTAATAATTTAAGTATTTATTGTTAGTAGTGATGTTCTATGAAAGTCTTTGCATTGCTTGCATTAAATCTGATTTTCCATAGGCAGTAGAATGTTTAGAATTGTGTTTCTAATTGCGTATATCCCCTGAAAACTCCCTAAGGTTTGCTAAAATATAGAGAAAAGTCATTCCTATGACAAGCAGTGTGATGTATTGTTTTAAGAGAGCTTTTAATCAGACTTGTTTGCTATAACAGCTATTGTAATTACTAGTCCAGCATCATGAATAGTAGTAACACCCCTTGCCACTAAAACTCTGCATTTATTTTCAGTCCTTAACATAGGGGGACACTTTGGGGGAAAAAAAAAAGAAGAGGTCGGCAGAATAGTAGTCATTTTGATCTGCTAAGTCCTTTCGTCAAGTAAAGAACACATATTGTAGAAGCTGTCATCTCTTGGAGCTGTATTCTGATTTCAACTTAGAATAATGAAGTTTGATGAGATCCCTGGAGGTCAGCTGGCCCAAGTGCTGCTCAGAGCAGGGCCAACTTTGCAGTTAGTTCATGCTGCTCAAGGCAGCATGAATGTTGAATATCTCCAAGATGGAGGTGTACATCCTCTCTGGACACCTGTCCCAGGGCCTGACTCTGCTCATGATGAAGAATTTTCCTCCTGCATCTAATTGGATTTTTCCCTTAGTGCAGCTTGTGTCTCTTCCCACCTGTTATTTCCCAGGACACCTTTTGGGATGAGTGTGCCTTTGTTCTTTGTCATCTTCGTACCTTTCCATTAGATAGCTGCAGGCAGCAATTAGATGTCCCCTCAGCCTTTTCTTCCTCCAGTTTCTTCTATCTGTCCTTGCACATCATATGCCCCAGCACCTGATGATGGTGGTAGTTCTGCTCTGTTAGCATGTTGTCATGGTTTAAGCTCAGCTGGCAACTAAGCACCATGTAGCTGCTTGCTCTATCCCAGCGAAAATCAGGATGTGCAGTTTTTACTGTTAGAAGCACACAAATTTGTTTCCAGCTTGAGATTGCTTTCCATTTTATCTTTACTCTTTCAATATCATAGCAGGTTGACCCTGGCTGCATGCCAGGCACCCACCAAAGCCACTTTATCACTCCCCTCCACAAATAGGCAGGGCAGACAAAATACAACAAAAGGTTCATGAGTTGAGATAAGGACAGGGAGAGATCAGTCACTCAATACTGTCATGGGAAAAACCCCTGGCTGCAGGCACCCACCAAAGCCACTTTATCACCCCCCTCCACAAATAGGCAGGGCAGACAAAATACAACAAAAGGTTCATGAGTTGAGATAAGGACAGGGAGAGATCAGTCACTCAATACTGTCATGGGAAAAACAGACTTTACTTGGGGAAATTATGTGATTTTATTACCAACAAGGTAAGAGCAGGATAATGAGAATATAAAAAAGACCTTAAAAACCCATCCCCCTAACCCTCCTTCCCAACTCTATCTCCTCCCACCCAGCAGTGCAGGGAGATGGGGAGTGGGGGCTATGGTCAGTTCATCACACATTGTTACTACCACTGCTGTCAGGGAGGGGAGTCCTTCCCCTGCTCCAGCATGGAGTCCCTCCCATGGGAGGCAGGTCTCCATGAACTTCTCCAGTGTGAGTCCTTCCCAGGGACTACAGTTCCCCATGAACTGCAGCAGTGTGGGTCACTCTCCACAGGGTGTAGTCCAGTCCCTCAGAAACAGCCTGCTCCAAGCATGGGTCTCCTGCAGGATCATGAGCCCTACCAGGAACTCTGTTCTGGTGTGGGTGTTCTCTCTCCACAGATCTGCAGGTCCCTGCCAGAAGCTGCTCCAGCATGGGCTTCCAACAGGGTCACAGCCTCCTTTCAGGCATCTGCTGGCTCCGGTGTGGGTCTCCTCCATGGGCTACAGGTGGATCTCAGTACCCTGTTAACCTCCATGGGCTGCAGAGGGACAGCTGCTTCACCATGTCTTTACCACAGGCTGCTCTGGTGCCTGGAGTGCCTCCTCCCCCTCCTTCTCTGCTGACCTTGGTGTCTGCATAATTGTTCCTCTCACATGTTCTCACTCCTCTGTCTACAATTATCTCTGTGCAGTAACTCTCTTAAATATATTATCACAGGGGCATTGCTACCACCAATGATTGGCTCAGCTTTGGTGCAGCAGCTGGTCCCTCCTGGAGCCACTGGCATTGGCTTTGTTGGACATTGGGAAGCTTCTAGCAGCTTCTCACAAAAGCCACCCCTGTAGCCCCCCTACTGCCCCTCCCTGGCCCTGCAAACCCAAAACAAATATGTTAACCCCAAAAGCCCCTCATCAACACTGAAAAAATTGAATATTAAAGGTATAGTCTTTAAAGTATTTGTGCAAAATGCTGGTTCAAACTCATAGTCTGCATTATGGTTAGGAAGTTGCCATAGTAGTATCAGAACCATGCTTTATCCCATATGTGGAAAACTTAGGGATGATTCTGTGTTTTTAATTGATATCAGCTTTTATTTTGATTTCAGCTTTAAATGTTCCTGGGTTTTTTCATCTGATGTTAGAACTATTTTTTTTTCCTCAGTTAGCTTTGTGCTTTTTCCCCTCTTGGTTTGATGACATGCTACATTAAAAAATTAGGTAGTAGTCAAAATATCTAGCTACACTGAGGAAAGACCTTGATGAATTCCTTACTGACATAAAACTGAATGCAACAAAGTAGAACTGTTTAAAATGAAGCACATATAAAAATACTTTCTACATGTGTTTTTCAACAAAGCACAGTGCCAGTAAAATATTTGTCCTCAAGTTACCTACAGGAGAGAGTTTCTTTTGGTTTAGATCCTTTTCTGCATGACACAATCTGTTGGTACTGAAGAAAGTGCACTGGCATTAACGAGAACTAGACACAATTCTAAAGTAAACATTTGAATCCATTGCTGAAGTTTTTGTTAAATGTACCAGTTAAGCACATACTGTTTTTCTGGTTGCAATACTGAACATAGGTTTGTAGCTCAGTATGGGCAATAATGAAATACCTTCTTGAATAGAAGGAGATAATGGTAGTAATAACTACTTCTTTTCATGTGGGTAGATATCCACACTTTTCAGAAGTTCATGCAGACATCTGTATGTAGTAATCAGACAATAACTTAATTTAGTTACCTTTCATGTTTCAGGCAACAATACATGTGCCACATGACTGACAGGTTCAGTGGAGGCAATCATTCTGTGACAAATGATCCTTAAGCTTTTTCTTGATGTGTGTTTTGATGATCTGATGAAAATAAAATGGCATCTTTCTCGTGTGGATAGATAAATGGGAATGATTGATTACTCTCATGAATTACTTTGTTCATTTTTGGTAATTTTTGTCATAGGTTTGGGGGTTTTGGGGTTTGCTTTTTTTTATAATGAGAAGATAATATTCAGCAGAATGATAAGGAGTGCACAACAGCCTGAAAAAATGGGGCTAAGATTCTTCCCCACTGATTCCATACTGAATGAATATCTTGCTGCTTGCAGGGAGACTATATGGGTGTGGTAGTTTTACTAAGGGGAAACAAGTTAACATTCAAAAGACACATTCAAATTTTTTTCATCTCGGACAGTAAATGGAAAGAGACAACTGTATAATTTATGCAAGAAGATGCTACGTGGTTTGATTGACCCTGAGACACCCACAGTGGTGCAGGACACTCTCCCTGTCACAGAGACAATACATCCCAGTTTCTCCTGCTTGATCTAAACGGGTTCCCTTTGAAGTCAGCATAGGTCACTTACACAGTTGTAGACATCAGCAGCATCCCACATGACTTTGTGAAATAAAATTCATTAAGCAGTATGACTGGAAATAGGATTTGATTTTGTAGGAGAGGTAATTCACGCAGGGCCTGTCACAGGCAGCTCTACTGGTAGCTGTGCAATTCCCAGTGAGCGCTGTGCTCACAGACACAGGGAAGAATAGCAGAATGGATCTGTAGGTGTTATTCTGGACATCTTTTTGCATGAGAAAGCCAAATTCTTTGTTTACCTTATCCATAATGTTTTCCAATACAGGCTGTAGGAGAGATTACAGACTGTAAGAGAGATGGTGAACTTGAGGGCAGCTCAGGCTGTACTTGGACTAAATTAACTCTGAAAGTACCTCTCTGTCTCAAATAAACATAAAGGGAGATTTGTAGGCACCTTTTATATGCCTAGGTTAGGTGATTTGAATCTGAGGCATAGTTTTCATAGTTTTTAAATACATTGCCAGCTCAGAACACAAAATTTCCCCCTGTCACATGCAGTTGCCAGTGTAGTTAAACATGGATGCAGTGATGTTGACAGATGAGAGCTTTGGTCAGCTTAGCTGATGCTCCTCAGAGGCATCAGGTAACCAGCTGGCAGAAAATGCCTTTCCTTGGCACATGTCATGCCTGCTGTGGGGGCTCTGCCAGCCCAGCTGTCACAGCGAAGGCTTCTTCACAAATCCCAGGCTGCGTCCTCAGAATTTCGATACCTGGCATACAGCTGTGGTAGTGGTTTGTGTATGTTCACAGTGCCACTTCATTCTGTGCTCCTGGACACCAACTGGTCCTGTGGCATCCATAAGCATGTTGCTGATATATATGTGATAAATGTTCGTGCCCAACCCTAAGTGACCTTCACAAAGTAGTTGTGATAACTTGTTGAGGGTTTCTACATTTGCCATTGAGACAGCTAATATAAGCTGCAGTATGTTCTGTACTACTGGGTGGTTCCCAAACTCCATTACAAAAGTCCAAGCCAGATGTTCTGTTCAGGTAACATAATAAAGTATAAAATTCGTATTGCCTCTGTGGTGCTTTCAGTTAGAGCTTGGATGGTAAGACTGCATGACGATCTGTAGGAAATAATTTGTGTTCAGAGTGGACAAACATTTGGTAACCTCTGAGGTAGAAGCTGATGTTGTGGCTGTCATTTGTGTACTGCTCTACTTCTTTGGGGGCCTTTTTCTTTCAAATTTTGCTCTTCATTTATGGAAAATTGCTTGCTGGTGACCTAGCTCAAAAAGCCCCCCACAGACTCTGTAAAAGGGGAAGGGAAAAGGCAGAATGCTGTGAAAGTAATTTGCTTCTATATGAGCATGAAACCATATTACTCTTGTTTTACTTGTCAGGTAAAACTATTTTTGTTATGTGCTACATCCCTTGACATCTAATGTTTCCTTCCTCTCTGCTACTCTTAGGGAATTGTTGGAATCGATTCGATTTAGGTTGAAATCTCTCCAGAAGATATTCCAATTACTAAAACTAATAGATAGACGAATGCACAGATAAAAAGCTATGTAGATGCATGGCCATTCCAGACAGAGCTAGCGTAGATTGCCTCGCTGCAGCGGTAGAGTGAAGGTTGAAGCTGTTGCATGCATGCTTGTTCTAGCTGGACTACCTCTAGTGAGACTGGCATGAGGACTCCAGTACAAATTTAGAAGTAAAATCTCATGTCTACTTATTCTTCTATGTAGTGTCTCTTCTTGCAGTCAAAACAGAACCCATGAACAACAGTGAAACAGCAACAACAACTGGAGATGGATCGCTTGACACATTTACTGGGTCAGGTAAAGCCATAAAAAGATCACATTCTGTTAGATGCATGTTAATGTAGCATTTAATAACCTTCACTAATGAACATTGCACTGCATGGAAGCAATCTTGAAAAGATGTCAATAAAGTAACATTTATAATAGTAATAGTAATAATAATAACAATATGAATAATAGCCTTTTGATTTTTGTAAATGCAGCTTCGCAATTTACATGAGGCGTGATCTTAAGCTTTAGTGATGTTGATAATAGGATTGCTATATGCAAAATTCTTATAGTAGTACTGTTATTGTGGTGCTGTAGATTTTTTCTCAAGGTTAGCCTTGTATGATCTTAGGAAGACAAAATGGATTGTATTTGTAACAGCCATGCTAATTTGTAAAATTTTAAATCTTAAAGGTTATATCTAAGTGGCAACCTTTTTAATTCTATCAGCAGTGTGTTAGTGTAAACATCAACCAGATTGCCATGTTACTTGCTTTTCATGAAAAGAAAGTCTATATTTTACTTTAAATAACGGTAAGTTTCAATTACTACTTAAAAAAATTCAGCAGTTTTTAAGTAGATCCCTATAAATTATTAAAAAGTGATGAACTGTGGAAAAGTACTGATAATCTGCCTTCTAATCATTAAGTTGAATCCTGCTAATACTGGCAAGGAGAGGAGGAAGAATAAATTTTGCATCTGTAAATTTCAGTTCAGTAATGGCTTGACTGAAAAGTCACTGAAGCCAGGAATCACCACACTACACTGATGGTGCTATTACTTTGGTAGACTTAGGTAGTCAAACCCTATTTACAATATTTTGGAAATCACAATGTTTCTGATCATTAAAATATTTTAAAAATTGAGTGTATGTTTCTGGAATTGTCTTTTAGGCATCACTTTTACTCCAAAGTTGATTATTCAGAGAAATATTTATAACAAATTTAATGCCTGAAGAAAAGATCTGTAGTGAAATGTAAGGCAAGCACATACTATTTCTGATTAGAAAAAATGAAAATATTGTTCTCATTATAATTGTACTCAAGGGAACTCCATCAACTTAAAGTCTAACAAGTTTTTTCACTATGTTGTTACCTACTGCTAAAATGCTATTAGTAATGATTACAGATTATAAAATGTCCAACCATATATATGATTTTCTCATTGTTGGTGAAACTTTTCTCAGCTTCTGCCATGTATTTAAGACAGTTGAGTTGTATTTCATGTGTAAAACATGGCTAAGGCAACATTCTCATGAAGGGATGCCAAAAATTGCAGTCTGCAGTTCAGGGTTATATAGCTAAGTAACATCTTGATTTCCCCAGGTGCCACTCACCTGTCAGATTCCACTGACTTCAAAAGAAGTGTTGAGATCTCAACACTTTGGATATTTGGAAAGTTGGTGCCTCCCAAAAAAAGAAGCAGGAATTTGAGCCTTCCTTTTTTTGCCTGCTAGCCACCTGCATACTCAAAAGAAATATGAACCTGATTCTCAGCTTAGGCCACAAACTCAAGCATTAAATGGGTACAGTCATTCACAGTGGGAAATCAATAGTCTGCCTGTCTAGGTGATGTGCAGTCTTCATCATCAGAGTGAGATGCAGAGCTGCCTCCATAATGCATTGAGCCTTTCATGAAGATTGAATACATTACTTTCATGATTGCCTTTTACAGGTAATTGCAAATTGAAGAATTTGGTTGACTCTAGTTTTGTAGGGAAAAAAACTCTCAAAACACAGTATTTCACTGATTTTTTTAACCTGAGTGGTCATCTGGGAAGTTTAACAAGTTGCCAAAGACAATAAATACTGAAAGATGAGACATGGGTGAAAACAGAACTCCTGGTGATGAGACCCATTTGAGACTCTGCCATCAGACTCAGAAATCCTCTCCATCTAATACTCTACCCATTAAAATTGATTTCCATGCTCCAAGGGCAATCAAAACACATGACCTGCCCTGGAACTGAGCAGAAGGCTGAACAAGCCCTGTGGGGTGTAAAGTAGTCAGGTCTGTCCCTAATGACCAGCTGTAACACAGAAAGTGGTGGTCAGATAGATTGTGTGAGGTATAGGGCAAGAGAGACAGATTAGACTTCACAGAAAACTGTGATTCTGTGAATTGTCAATTGAGAAGTTGAAAAGATAAAGCACATAGATCTTTCGAATTTAGGATGATAGTTGCCCCAGTGGCCTTGCCCAGGCTGCTGTTAGGATTGAGCAAGCTCCTGCTCAGGGCTGCAGCTCATGCTTAGGGCTCTGCTTCCCCTGTCCTACAGAGCTGCCCTGGGAGCCCCTCTTAGTATGGCTTACTGAGCTGAAGAGTCACGCTGTACACTCCCATTTCTGCTCTTTTTCCTTCAGAGAAGGTCAGTTGGTAATTCAGATCAGTGAAGCTTTGTAGTGATGCAGCAGACTCCCATTGGGGTGGGCAATCACAGGATGTGGAGAGGTGCACAACCTTGAACTGAGATAGATAGAGATTGTGACATTATTTAAATGACGTCCTTTTAACTTAACCTTTTTGCACAGAATTTTTCAAACATGTAATCAAAAAATACAAAATTCCAGCCTGAACACAATGTATGCTATTAAAACAGTTAATGGTCATTTAAACCCTGCACAGCTACCTTGGCCAGTTGAGCTAAGGGAGTACCTGGCCAGAGCTGGCTGTCACCTTCTTGTGCCCTCTGTGAAACAGCATTTGTGGGGACTGGAATATGCCCTCAGTGTCATAGGGGAACTGGAGAGGTCAAGGGCCTTATACCTGCCCCCTGGTAAATTTAAGTAGCAAAGTTTTAGGAATATTTGAGTTTTTCTGAGAAAAAAAGAGTTTTGTTTTTTTTTTTTTCTTAATATAAGCAACACAAACCATCATTTAGCTCTATTCTGGCTATATAAAGTGGCACAGTTACAAAACCCATGGCAACCTGCCTCCACCATCTCCTCCATTGCCAATAGTCCCTAGAAGTAGGGTTAGGAGGCCATAGAGAAGCCAAAGTTGTTTAAGTTTGATAACCCTTAGAATTGCCAGTCTGATCTATGAGATACAGGTGTAATCCACAGGCTTCAGTCAGTCATAATGTTCTGTTACAATCAGTCTTAGACCCTGTGTTTCTTAAACTCATAGACTAAAATGTAATGCACAGATCGCTGGGACAAGTTACAGACAATGAGTGAAAGGAACAGATTTTTTAGTCTTGCCTCTTTTTGTCTTTCTTCCATACAACTGGTAGTATCATCAGGGAAAATTGCGGGGAAAAAGGATATTTAAACCCAGACACATTCCAAAAGTATTCTATTTTCTTTTCTGAATAAAATAAAATAAGGTATATGCAGAAAGAGTGAAAAAACAGGCAGGACATTTTTTACTGACAAACAGTTTTTTATAGCTTAAGTGATAGAAATTAATAGCAACTAATTTTTTGTAGTTTACATAAGGTGTGGTGGCATGGTAAATGCGCTTTAATCAAACTGATTAGTCGGTGAGCTCTCATCCAGCAAATGATCAGACAAAAATTGTAGTACTACAGGTAAAAAACATCCTGTAAGCCAATAATGGATCACAAAAGTTGCTTGCCCTGAGAATCACCAAGGTCAGTCTGCTAGCTATTGCTTGTCTTTAGAAAGGTCAAAGGGATACAACACGTAAGACTAATTACTCATCAAACCTTAAATAAATAAGAGCATCCCTTAGAGTTTTATAGATTGATTATACTGATAGACAGAGCTATAGGTTTGTCTAACTCTGGGAATAGCTGCCTGCACATGTAGCAGATTGCTCTGTGAGTTGACCTTAAACCATGGAAAGTCATTCTTAAAAAAACAAGAATATCCACATAAAATGAAATTTAGCAGATTTCCATCACAGGCAAACCCTCAGCATCTTTTCAATCAGCAACTTGTTTATGAAATCTGGTGCACATATTTTAAAAGTTATCCAGTTCTTCTTTACTTTCAAGCCATACTCAACTGCACATTTTAAAAAGCAGTTAATTGTTTTTCTTCTACTGTATTTTCCTTTTAAGTCCTACACATTCTAAATTTATTTAAGCAAGGTTTAAAAATATGAAGTTCTGCATATGTTCAAAGCAATAGATCTGAAAGATGTTAATTAGGCCTGGATGTAGAAATATATCATGTTTCATAAAATAGTTAGGAACCTAAACCTATTTGTCACTTATATAATTCTGAATGTTCATTTCTACTACCATTACGAATAACTCAGGAAGAGGGTACACTTTGAAGTACAACTATGATTGATTAGACTGAAGAAATTCCAGTACTTCATTGTGTACTACTTTAATCTTTTGAAAAGTGAATGAACAGCAGATGGCCTAATAAAGACACTCTGTATGTTTGCCCAGTATGGATTTGCTCTGAAGGGATTGGTTCAACACTTTAGAGTACATATATTTGGAATCCATCTGTCTTAGTCAAGACAGATGGCTAAAGGAAAGAGAAACTTCGAAACACTTGGAATTAATCCAGTATGAGCACCACTTCTAAATGAAATTTTAATGGGATATGACTATTGTTCAGTTAGCTTTCTTGGAGGAATGCAGCTGTGAATAGTATAGACATACACAATTTGAATGGCTACTGAACAGTACTATTTATGTGTACTTTGAAATGAAAATATTCTTGTTAGTGGATACCTTCTAATCGGCCTGTTTATAAAGAATAGTATATTCTTTATAATGTTCCAGTGTTCAATCCAGTATCTTCCATCACCTAAGCTAACTAAAATTAGTCACACCCATATAAAACATGCTTTTCCTCTCCAGTATTAAAATTGAACTTGTTAATGTGAGACTTTAAAGGTATGTGTACGTTATTTCAATCCCATGCAATACCATATATTAAATCACAAGATTCTTTTTTAATACCCCTTTTAATGCAACTTGCAAATTTGAAAGATTTACAGAAAGATTATCATAGATGATGTATGAAATGTATGACTCTTCAGCATACTCAGAAATGTGTCACGCTAGCTGAAAAAGCATAACACACCCATGCTAACTAAGGAACTGTGCACAACAATGAATGATTTGAGAGTTTTTTAATTTTTGTATTAAGATGTTGCATTTAGGTGACATCTGCTTCCTTGAAAAGCTGTCAATTTCAATAAGCTTCTCTGCTAATGTTGCTGCATTAGTGTTCAGACTGTTGGGCTGTATTGGTCTTACAGTGTTCCTAACTGCTCAATTCTTGTTTTCTGTTTTGCAGTAATAACAAGTAGCGGCTACAGTCCAAGATCAGCGCACCAGTACTCTCCACAGATATATCCCTCCAAGTTAGTGTCTGCACTTCTTCTAGTCTTTTATAGGGAATTGACCTTGGCTGTAGGCAGTTCTGTGGTTTGCTGCAAACAAGTGTTCAGCAGCAGAAGAAACAGAGTAAAAGGAAAACTCTTAAGCCTCAGTACTGACTCCAGTACTGGCTCCCTCTCCAACTTTTTATTTCCTCAAGTGTGTACAGAGTAAGATCCTGCTCTGTGCCGTATTCCTGCACAAGAAATACCCTTGAATATCTGCACACAACAGAAGGAAAAAAATCAGACTATTATGTTCTCAGACATCAACCTCTTGACAGTGCTGGCAATATCTACAGACATATTTTGAAGGAGGCAGTTTATATTTCGAAATCACAACTACATGAGCAAATTGCATACGGGGAGGTAACCCTGTCCCCGTCCCTCCCAGTGCCAGCATTGCCAAACACTTCCAAGCATTCCACTATCATGAACCACCCTTTTCTCATCCCTCTCTGATAAGATTTAAAAAGCAAATATATCAGATTAGCTTGTCATTTCATTATTTTTAAGCTAATGTTATTAGGAATAGAAAATTTCTTTGGTTTTGTTTGTTTGTTGTGTTTGGGGGGATTTTTTTGAGGAAAACAGACTTGGGCAATCACATGAATGCACGTGTGGGAACTTTAGGAAACACCATGGAAGATCTTGTCCAAAAGTGCTGCAGTTGGTAGTTTATTAGGTGGCTTGTCCTATGATCAGTGTTGTGCACAAGGGTGCTTGATTCCAGTATGCCAATTATTTCCATGTATTTGACACAGCTACCTGTGTGACTTTGATAAAGAGAAAACATTGAGACTGTAGCCAATAAGGCTCTTTCAGGTTTTTCAAGAAATTTGTATGTTGGTAACCAATTTTCACTGATACAGAAAGTAGGTGCCTGAACTAAAAAGAGCCCTCATTCCTCTTAAAACATGTTTTGGCAAATTCTATCAGATACTTTGATTGCCAAATACATTACAATGTTTAATAGGATTTTTAATCTACTGTTATAATTTGTTGGCATCTAAATTAATAAGCAATCCTTTTCTGATAGTAGATGCTGCCAACTGGGCTGAACTAATTAGAAAGAAAAAAAATTAAAAAAATAGAATCTGAAATTTAGTCATGGCTTTTAATGGCCAGGTTTCAGTTAGTGTAATTCTGCAGAGTGTGTTTATTCAAATCTTGGTCCATAAAGTCTTATTTGACTTACAAAACAATCCAAGACAAATGTTTCTCTGTATATTTTTGCAACTCTGGAGGGCAAAAATTTAAAATTTGATTTTATTCAATCTTTCTATTAAACCCCAATATTCATAAATAAAGGACCATTTTTATTTCCATTCTATTTCCCTGGCCCATATTTTCCAAACATTTAAAGCCCATCTGGTTACCAAAGTATTGCCGTCAGTGTTTTTCATGCCACTCTCAAATGGCACGACCCATCTCCCATTGAAGCTAAAGACTTGATGTCTGTTGAACCAGAACCTACACTGAGGACATAATGTACTAGCTTTAACATTCACCTCTTTATTCCCTATATTCTTCTCATCCAAGTTTCCCTCCACTGGATTAGAAAAGCATGGGGGCTTTTCTAATTTAAGCATGCTGATCTTGGCTGAAAGGGGTCTAATACATACAAAGCCATGCAGCAGTGGCACATCCCACCTAGAACTGGACACAGTAGCTTAAGCCTTAAATTGCAGTGATGGGACAGCACAAAATATTCACCGTGCCTTGGGGAATGTGAGACAGAATGTTTTTCAACTTATTTCTGTGGGGGATGGAATAAATCCCAGAAGAGGAGCACTTGGCAGAATAATGTGCCTTTGGACATCTTTAAACCTTTTTCTTTACTTTATTGCTTGAATCAACATACAAAGTATTTGTTGCCACAGTAATGCTATTTTTCCTGATATTTAGGCCCTATCCACACATTCTTTCTACACCAGCAGCTCAAACAATGTCTGCCTATGCCGGACAAACCCAGTATTCAGGAATGCAGCAACCAGCGGTCTATACAGCCTACTCACAGACAGGACAGCCATACAGCTTACCCACTTACGGTATTTGACCTCTTATTACTACACTTTATGTAGAAGTAAAATCAATGCTGGCATGAATGTCTTTTGCTTTCTGCTTTGTTTTCCCAACTGTAAGAAAATATTTTAAAGAATCAGTTGAAAATTAATTTCTTATACAGATTTGGGTGTAATGTTGCCAGGCATCAAGACAGAAAGTGGGCTCTCACAGACCCAATCACCGCTGCAGAGCGGGTGCCTCAGTTACAGCCCAGGGTTTTCCACCCCACAGCCAGGCCAAACACCCTACTCTTATCAGATGCCAGGTGAGTGGCCACCTCTGAAATTTAAAGCTAAGTATTTATTTCCAGTACTAATACACATATGTGTGGTCATTTTGATAATATGTTAGTTTAGATCTGCTCATGCACTGTAGTCCATATTTGCACCTTCTGTTGGTTTCTTTATGGAGTGAAATCACATGGCAGGACTCAACGCATTTGTTGTATCTATTGGTGTATACAAGCCACTTTTCCTTGTCTTCTTGTTTGTGAGTATGACATAATTTGACTCTTGTTTCTCTTTGGATTAATGTAATTTGTTAGAACTCCTTAATTCATATTTATTCTTTTATTTGCTGTTCAATTAATAATTCACTTATTACCCCTTTGATCATTTTTATCATTTTTAAGCTTCTTATACAATGGTTAATCTTTCGAATATTACAAATCACAATATGAATCATCTGATTTATGCTGAAAACAAGGACATGCCTGATTACAGATCTATTAAAAACACACGGATCATTAAATAGTCTTTGAATAGTTTTTTGTTTTGTGAACATGCTAAAGTGTTAGAAATGAAGGCAAAAGAGAAAAAAATATTTGCGGAGAGGCAGGACTGCAATAAATTGAAAAATGCTTTCTCAGTCGGTGAGATGATTTACTGCTAATATCCTCCTTGCATGGTGTGAAGAGGAATGTATGCCTGTATGTGTGGAAGTAGCACTTTGTTTCTTTTAAAGTTTCATTACAATATTTTATTATTTAAACAGAAAATATAAGGGTTTTTTTCTTCTGATTCATCTGCATCTTAACATGGATTAATTCTGTTTAGAATTTTATTTTGATTCACAAGCAAGTTCTAACGGTTAATTGTATTTTTTAATTTTAGGTTCTAGTTTTACACCATCATCCACTATTTATGCAAACAATTCTGTTTCAAATTCTACAAACTTCAATAGTTCACAACAGGTATGAATATTAACATCTTTATTTGCCAGTTACAAAAGGACTTACATAACTCCAACGACAGCATGTTATTTTGATTTAGATCTGTTATATTGAATGAGATTCACTGTTGTGCAATGCTGTTTGCTGTGGAATGTGATCAAAATCCCCGTGGAAGCCTAGTTACATCTTTGGCACTTAAATACTTCAGCAACTTCCCTGTGGTCTTTTAGTAAATATCCTTAAATTAAAAACAAAACAATTAAATATTCTTAAATTTTAAAAACTGCTAAACTAAGCCATCAAAATGCTTGTAAAAGTTATATGATTGTACACTTAGAAATAATTAATGGAAAAAATTCACTTATTACAGTACCTAACTAAGTGTTCTGGTGCATTCACTGTTTTAGGATTATCCATCATACACAGCTTTTGGCCAAAATCAGTATGCACAGTATTACTCAGCATCAACATATGGTGCATATATGACCTCAAACAACACAGCTGATGGCACTTCTTCATCATCGTCAACCTACCAGTTACAGGACTCTCTCCCTGGCTTGACTAGTCAACCAGGTACAGATCTACATTCAGGTGAAAAAAAATTTTGTGTTTTATTCTCTACCTGTATAAAGACAAGATTTCCACCTTGCACTGACTGAATGCCTTGTTTGGATATTGGTATTTTAAGCTCACGCCTTTCAGAAAGCTTTATCATGTAAACTAGCCAAAATAACCTTTTTTTTTCTGTTTAGTTAGGAAACCTGTCTAGTTTGTTTGCTAGTTAAATAAAGTTTTTTGCTGGCTGAGATGGTTGTCAGTATTACTGACAGTGGAACATTCCTGTTTCCACCTACACATTCTGAAGTATTGCTATAAAGAATTTAAAACAAGATACCGTTGTTCGTTTAATCATGCTCCAGTCATGCTAGCAAGAGCACATAGACTTTATTCAAATGCATACAAGACATGCATGTTAATTCGCCAATTTATGTAACTAGAAATAGAGAAAGCGGTTATTAGCACAAGTCTCTGAAAAAAAAAAAACAGTATTGGAAGTAAAGAGCATTCTCAGGAGATGGGGAGGATCCCTTCGCCTGCCCAGCCCTGCCCTCTGGTGCACAGCCACCACAGCGCAGTGGTTTGTTACTTGTGTTCTTCGAGCAGCCTCTTCCAGGGACACTGGCTTCACTCAAGCAGTGTGGGTACTGCCTGCTTTACCCACAGACTGCGAACGTTTCTAAAAAGATTAACAAACTGGCTTTTGGATCAGACTCTGAATAGAGGAGAAATTCATGCTTTAATCACAAAATCAACTTACTGCATAGATCTTCTGCACCATCTTACTGAAAAGTACAGGAGAAAGACTAATGTATTATTATAATGAATTTGTACAAAGGAAAGGCAAAACTGGGTAGAAAAGTATAAGCAAGGTCTCATACTTAATAGAAGCTGCTTAAATTTCCTAAAAATGTTAGAATTGTATTACATGGCTTGAAATACCAGAGATGTTTGTCTCAGACTGATTTTTAAAGTGTTTGTATGTGTGTGGTATAGTATGGTATGGATATGGATATTGTATAGAATGGCTATGGGGAGATACACATTCCCTTGGTTTTTGATGAAAATGTAATGTTATTCAGTAGTCTCAGAATGCAAATTTAGGAAGAAAAAGCCAAGAGTTAAAGTGAAATCAGGTGAAATTTCAACAGTTGCAGGGTATCTAGAACAGACACAAATCAAATATAAAGTATTTTTAATAGTGTAAAGCATAGTCACAAGTTCTGTTTTGATAACTGTGCATGACCTGTGTACTTTTCCTTGCTCATTTCTTATTCTTTCATATTCTTATTTGAGAAAATCAGTTTCCCATATTGTCTCTCCCTTATGTATCTGTATTTCCTAGAAATGTGTAAATTGATATATTGCAAACACCCTTAGTATTGAATGGAATCTTACATAGCTTGAACAAGTTGAAAAAATATCAAAGGCTTCATATCTGTGAAACAGTAAAGATTTTTCTTGTTTGTGGATTGTTTAAGCGTATGAACTTGTTCTCTTGTTAAGTAGGCTGTCCATCTGAACTTAACAAATCTGCCCACATCTACTTCTTATTTCTGTGAAGTGTTGCACTGATCATGCGACCCTCTGCTGAGTGTGAAACACCCACTTTGTGATGCATGAGATGTCTGTGCCCTTCTGTGTCACTGTAAAAATAAATTTCCATTGGTGAGGTGCAGTGTCTTGGAGATCACTTCAGATACAGTAGATCATACTGCAGATCTTTAGTACTCACCATGTTCACTTTCTGTCTAAGTCCTTAAGACTTACTCCAACTAAAACCTAAGACTAAACACAGCAAAGCACTTCATTTTTCCACCACCTCTGCTAGCTATTAATTCAAATATATAATCACATACAGGATTTATTTTTTTCATAATAAAGCCCCAATCAGATCAAGGGTTAATATCAGTTGCAATTTTATTTATTGCCCAAGTAAAAAAAATGAGATGAAAATTGAAATAGACTTTACTCTTTCTGCTATTTGTGACAAGTAGTAACATATTACAAGGCAGAAAACAAGTAGGTTTGAAATGTTGAAGCCATCTTCTGTCTGCTTTGCCTGGTAAGAATATGCAACAGAAGTCATAAGAAAAGTATGAAGGGACTCAGAAATTCATCCATTCCACATTTGTGTAAGATTCAGCTCCTTAACCCATGGACTCCTTAATGCTAATTGGAGCTAAATCCAATTGGCAGCCAGTCACTAGTGCTGTTCTCCAGGGCTCAGTACCAGGGCCGGTCCTATTTAACATTATTATTGAAGATCTGGACATGGGGATTGAATGCACTGTCAGTAAATTTGCAGACAACAC